GGTCTCCCCGGGGGGGGGTTGCGGTGGCGGGGTTGCGGTGCGGGGGCGATGCGGGGGCGGGGTTGCGGGGCCGGTGGCAGGCCTGCGGGGTTAGGCGGCGGGGTACCCGGGGCTGGGCGGCGGCGGGGGTCGTCCGGCGGTGGCGGGGTTGGATGAACCCCGCGGCGGGGGTCCGGGGTCCGCAGCCTAACACCGGCTTTGCCCCCGGGGTTCCCCGCTCGACAACGCTGCCCAGCACACCTACGCCGCTTGTTGGCTTCGACGAAGATCACAGGACCACACGGCTGTTGCACTGGGTTTGATGCATCCCCACAGCACCAGTTGACGAACCATTTCGACCTAGCGTGGTCGGACCACGTCCTCGAGGTCGTAGACGACCGTTTTGTATAATCTTTCCCAGATCCCATCCCGGAGGTCGCTGCAGGCTCCCCTTCGCCCCTGGACGAAGACATATTGTCTGCGGACGACAACGGAAAAGAAATAAAACACCAGTGAGCATCAAATCGCAGTCAAAGTACAACGCAAGCGAAAAACACAGGAGGCACACCTTGCCCTCAACACGTCGGTCACATGACGCCATCCGAGGACCTCGAAGTTCGGATCCTTGCGAACTTCGAACGCGAAGACCAGCAATGACCTCTTACCTGCAATGAGATCATTCTTTACAAGGGCACACGCTTCATGCAGCCGGGCGACAACCACGTTGGTGTTTTCGGAACACGGATGTCGACCGGATGGGGAATGGACGGGAGGTGACGCACAAAGCTCGCGTTGGACGGGGCAGTGTCCTCCGTTTAGCACTCGGAACCCGGACAGTTCAGGACGCGAAGTTCGCCGAGATCCGCACTAAAAGATGGGGCGCAAGAGAGAGAGAGACAGCCAGCCCACGCAGCCAGCGTTCCAGAACCGTGCTCGAGCGAACACACTCCGCAACAACATTTGATCGAAACCAGAAGTCGGAGACGGGTTATCCACCTCGCCGGGCGGGTTGTGCGAACCCCAGGACATGCCTGTCCAAAGACAAACCAACGCACCCACCGAAACGTGAAGTTCGCCGGGATCCGAACTGCAGGACGATTGAGAAGGAAAGGCCGAACCCCAGGACGTGCCTGTCTAAAGACACACGGTCCGTGGACTAAACCACGACCCAGAAAGGCCGCACTAACACAAAAGACCGGTTGAGAAGGACTAGTTCGCCGAAATCCGAACTTCTTTTGATATGCGCAACTTGTCATTGGATGAAGCCAAGTTCGAACGCAGCGGCCGCGACAACATTGCATGAGTCCCTGGAGTGGCAGTTGTGGATCAGGGTATACTCGTGTCGCATTCCACAGGGGATCATCAAGACCAGCGCCCGTTCAATACACAGGCGTCAGAGGAAGTTCGTCGGGATCCGAACCTAAGGAGGCTGCGAGAGAGACAGACAGAAAGTTGGGGTCCTAGCAAGGTGTCCTAGCAAGGTGTCAACGGGATTTCCAACAAGAGGGCACGCCAACCGGGATCTCCAACGGGTTTCAGGAAACGCGAAGCTCGCGCGACCTTGCGACGGGGATCTCTAAGAGTGCTCTTGGCATCTCGCAACGACAGTGCGGCCCGCCCGACGCCAATGACACCAAAGACAAATTAACGCAGAGGCCAGAAGGCGAAGTTCGCCGAGATCCGAACTTCGCCGGGGCACGACATGAAAGGAGACGACGTCAGAGACCGACGTCCAACATGACTTTCGTCAGTCACTGAACCGAACGACGACCAGGGATTTGCACGACAAGCGTGCGGTGCAGCGTGTACCAGCAACCGCAAAGTCTCATACTTCTCTGCAGTCCTACAAATATGACATTTTAGGCAGCACAACCGCATCTCGTCCCTCGCCGTTCTTTTCCCTCAAACAAAAGGACTAATGACCGGTTCGGATGCGGCAACATTTGGGGATCCCCCGGGACGACGTCGTGAACCGAAGCCATACAAAGCATTTAGTGACGATCCGTATACGCGGGTCTGTGGTTCGTCGACCGATGCACTCTCCGAAAAAACGGACATATATTTCATCCTAACAAACACCCCCGGTCGCGCCAAGGAGTTTCCTATGCAGTCCCGTAGGTCAGCCGCTTTCTCCTCAACCTCATGCCACAATGAATAATTTCGAACCTGACCTGCTATCACCAAATCTGGCCACCCATCTACACGTTCAGGCCCACTCATCGGCACAAATTTGGACCCTTCAATCACAACCTCGTTGCGCGACACAAGCACAACTGCGTCGACGAGTTTCCTGCTCTTGTTCGAAGCAGCGACACACAGAACTCTGGTGAAATCAGATCCGGACACAGTCAACCGCACACAGTGGTACGACACAGCTCATGGAGAAATCCCGGGGCCACGGAGCGGGTAGTGGTCCA